CCCTCCCCTCCCGCGCTAGCCTAAGGGCCACCTTAGCAAAGCGCATCCCAGGCTGCATAGCCGCACTACCCTACCCAACCATACCACACATAAACATGACACTACCCCCGGGGTTTACACAGACGAGCCGGCGAAGCAAGAAGAGCGCCAGAAGAAAGGGCCCTAGCCGGCGGGGCCCACCCAGGACAAAAGGAGGTCCCACAAAGCGCCTACACCGGCCGCATTTGCGGTCGGGGTAGACGACGGATGGGGCCCACCTACGAAGGCTGTCCAGGCCCCCTCGATCCCAAATCATTGAGGCCACTTTCTAGCCCTGGAATAATGGCGCGGTCAAATAGTGACTAGGTACGAAACTGAAAATAAATAAACAAAGATAGAAATATTAACTTAAGATCCAAACCAACGCACAAGTCCGGTTTGATGGTTTGGCAAACTCTGCCAAACAGGGTTAACTATATTTCTCGCCGAAACGTCAAACCGCAGCAAACTATAGTTAACCGGGTTAGCGGTTTTCTCGCCAAAAAACCCTTATTATATCATTTTAAATTTCTCGGGTTTCTATTTCATACTCTAACTAAAATACATCAGCACCGCCTTTACGTGACCCAAGAAATGGCTCAATTTTTTTGTTACGGACTCTTCAGTCTTCACTCCTTTTATAAACTCCATGGTAGTGCCACTGCAGGTGTATTGTTTTATTTTATAGGTTATGTTATATTACTGTTGAGAGTTATGTTGTAATTATATTTTTTTAACATATGTTAGTCTGGATGTTAAAATATTTTGATTATTATCATAAATAGTAAATATGGATGAATTTGATTTGCCGGATGATTTAGAAGATGTCGAGGTAATTTACTCGGACGGTGAAGATGATGGTGAGGAAAATATTGGGGATATGTTAGATGTGGTTAATCTTAATGAAACTGATGAAGAAATAGAAACTGAAATTATAGATTTAGCCCTTTTAACATTTAACAAACACAATAAATCAATTTTTTCCTCTGATTTAAATGAAACTTCAGAGTTAGCAGTTACGGGAGGTGAAGATGACATTGCATATTTATGGAATACAAATAATGGAGAGGTTTTGTTGGAGTGCACAGGACATAAGGATTCTGTAACCGAAGTAGGCTTTAATCGCAGTAGCCAGTATATAGCTACAGCTGATATGAGTGGTATGGTGCAGGTTTGGAATGTGAATGAAAAGAAACTAGTTTGGTGCTATGAAGGAGATGATATGGAATGGTTATTGTGGCATCCTATAGCTAATGTGCTTTTCTGTGGTTGTCATTCTGGTGATATATATATTTGGCAGATCCCTCAAGGTAATTGCAAGGTATTGCCCTCGCCCAATAATTCTTCATCTACTTGTGGAAAAGTGTTACCTAATGGCAAACAGGTTCTAGCAGGATATGAGGATGGAGTGTTAAGACTTTGGAATATTAAAGAAATCAATGTGGAATGGAGTAACTCCCAAAATTCGACAATAACTAATCTAGATATCAATACAGACGGATCATTAGCAATAGTAGCACCTAGTGCAATGGTAATAAAATTAACAGATGGCAAGCCTATAGCTAATTTACTTCCAAATGGAGAAAGTGAAATAGAATGTGGTTTATTTAATAGTGAACTTGGGATAGTGGCTACAGGTTCTTTGTCTGGCAAGCTATGTGTATGGGAGTTAGGAAGGCATGCTTTACGACATGAGGCCAGAATTGAATGTGCTGTAACTCTTTTAAAGTGGGGAAAAAATGGAAAAATATTTATTGGTGCAACAGATGGTGCAGTTTATGTATGTGATGTTAAAAGTGGTATGTTATTGGAGACACTGACGGGTCATCGAACTGATATTTTAAGCATATCTGTCTTCTCAGATGGTAATAAAATCTTAACGACATCAGATGATGGAAGCGCAAAGATATTTGCTATAAAGTCAAGTTAACTTTTAATCTTTTATAGATTTTTATAACTAAATTTTTGATAAATTTAACTTCAGATTTCATCTTTATGTAACCAGATAAAAATATTCCAAAAGCTTTTTTGATGTCTATGTATAGCCATGTCATGCTTCAAAATTAAATATGTGATGTTAAAAATACTTACGGTATTTTGTTAAATGTATTTATATATAAAACAACAATTGGTGCTAGATAAAGTTTTTTTTAATCAAAATACAGTGTTTGCCAGATGTATATTTAAATGTAAAACAACAGTCAGTGCTAAAAACTTTTTTTTTTAACAAAATACAGTTTTTGCCAGACTTGATATTTATAAACAATTTATAATGTTATCGAAGCAGTAGACCTCCTACAAAAGTATCTGTGCATTTCATTAGCAAGGTTGCCGTGTGTGTCTGAAATTTACTAGAAGTGTATACTTGCAGCATAGTCTTGGTCTCAACATCTGATTTTCCAACATTCTAGTAGAGAAAATATTTTTGTCAATTAGTATTTTCAGTGAAACTAAAACTACTGTTAAATTACATTTTAATCTGGATATGTTTCAAGTTCTTAAATTTTTATTAATCATTACTGAAACTTCTGTGACGATTATATATTTTTTAACTTCATTAGTAATAGTAAGTAATTTAGTTCTAAGTTTAGATGTACATCCATATTTTGACACCCAGCTAAAGGTTTATTATAATAAGTAATTGGAAAAACAAACTATACAAATTAAGAGGTTTTCTATTAATTAAAATAATACAATGTTTTAAAGTATAGAATCAACTTTTTAAAACAAGTAAGTGCCTTTTACACTTGTCGGAACTGTCCGGCAGTACCAACGCATTATTAAAGAATGAATATTTTTTTCTTCTTGAGTGCAAAAAATATTTGAATAAATTTATATCAACTACTGATTTAATAAATCGAATGAATCAGAAGAATTTGAATATCTAGTTTTTGGTGGTTGCCAAATAAATTAAACAAATGACTCATAAACAGAGAATTTCAGGTATCCTTTATACATATTTACACACATATTGTTTATATTTTTAAAATATTGGAAACAAAAGAAGATATTGAGATAATAAATTTATTTTGAAAATGTATTTAAGAAAAATCAGCAACTTTAAATAATTGTACACAAAGCTTTATAATAAAACTCTAAATCTAGACCTCCCCTCCCCTATTCATAATAAAGTTGATCATTTAATGATGTCTAGTCTTCCACCTGGTACTGGGCTTTCGGATAATCATTCGATTCTTAAAAGTATTCGAGAACAGAGTTCTCAATTCTTAAAAATACTCGATTCTGTCCATCACTAATATTTTTACATGTGTTTTAACAAGTAATACCATTAGTAGTGACTGCCGGCTGCTCGGTTTTTCCAAGAGTGAAAGAAGGCTTAATAAATCCATTTTAATAATATGGGAAATATTGCTGAAAGAGTGCGCCATAAACATATGCATTAGAGATCATCATCAGTTTTTTGGCAACTGAATCTATCCATTTACATATATGGCATACGCATATCTCCATATTATTAAAAATTGATCTATCCAATCTAACATCACCATATTGCTGAGAAAGGGCTTTAAAAGTAAAATATATGCAAGTTCATTTAAATAAATTGAAATTTACTGTTTCTACACTTTTTTACATTAATTCCTTTATATTAATGAGTCCAAGAGATAGTGTGATGGAAAAATTTTCATATAATTTTTTTTTTAACCAAAATCTGCCAAAATATCGTGGAAGTACCTAAGTAATTACTAAAATTTGTAAATTTCATTTGATCTTATTTTTTATTTATTATATTTTATATGTAACTATTTCTTAAATTTTAGCTTTCATAATTGTATATTGGCCTAGATGACTTTTGTATTATTTATATATTTTTTTGAGAAGTAGATCACTCATTTATCTATATGGTACAATCTAAAGAAAATTGCCCACTTTAAATAATTTGAAGGGGTTTAAAAATTTGATAAAAAATGAAGAAACATCAATTTTTATTTCAATAGTAAACAATGTTTGGCCCAATGTTTGTATGTAAGAATTGAGTCTTGCTCCAGTGCCAGTTAAACAATTTTAAATGGCGACAATGGTTGAGTAATACCTTACGTGTTTTTGTTCTCCTAGTTATCTAGTTTACTGTCAAATAATAGACTAAATATAGTTTCATTTTGACTTTTTCAGGCTTCTGGAGATACTTTAATGTTTGTAACATAGAGAGGTGTGTAAATTGACTATTAATTGCTATTTACAGTTTTACCCAGTAGATTCCAAAGTTTGCTCCAATACATGTGCCCTTCAAAAGAAAGGTGATTTGCTTGCATTTTGGTATTTATATTATCCCAAATTATTTGAGGTGTACAATTTTCATTGGAATGCATTATAAAATAAAACTAAGGAATGAATCTGCTGCTTAAGTAATACGTATATAATAATTATATTAAAATAATTTCTCCAAGTGACATTTACCTTCATATGAATGTGTAAAGTACAATTGAAATGGAGTTGCACAATAATCCTTTTCATAAATGTGAATATTTTTTAAAAAATTGGTAATTATATTAAAAAAAATGTCTAGCTCTGGTTTGCTGTTTATTGGCGGTGTATAAAAATTACAGATAAAAATAAAGTGGGAACATGTTTATATTGTTACTGTTTATCAATAAAAATCAAGCAAAAATGGATCTTTCATTTAATAAACTATGCAAAGTAAACTAAATATTATTTAAAAGTATATTTAGATATGGTACCCAAATGTTTTTAAATTGATGTGCAAATATTCTGACCTAGTATGTATATACAATTCATCTTATGGTAAGTATAATTGGTTGCATAAATATAATTGCTGGTTAATTTTTTAAAATATAATTTTAACTATAATGAATGTATTTCGCATTTATAATTAGATACTTTCAGTTTTAAGGTTAATATACAGGGTGTTTCTAAAATAGGGTTCCAAACTTCTGCTGCGTTTATAACTCATTAAAATAAGCCTAAAAGTTCCTATTAACATGTGCCCTAAAACGCACCCTTAGGAAATTATATGCCCTTAAAAGGGCTCAAACAAAACTGTTATTTTCTGTTATTGATAAAACGTCGCTAATAAATAGAAAAAAAATTATGGGTCTTACATAACTTTTTACGTTAAATAACATGGGCTACTCCGTTTTTCGACATGCAAATCATATGCGTCTCATATTTAGGTTGGTGAAGGGGGTTTTCGGCCCGTAATTTTTTATTTCAATTTTTTTACAATTTTCTCTACAGATTTATAAAATCTTAACAATTTTACGTAAAAAATATTATCTTTGTCCAAATCGATATTTCCAATGGTTTTCGAGTAAATTGAGTGAAAATTTTAATCCCATTGTCTGCAGTAGTAATTAGTTCCTTAATTAGTAAGTGTAACTCTAAATTTAAATAGTCTTAGTTTATGTCCTAAATTATTTATTAAATGATCGGATTCATAACTGCAATTTATTTGAAAAAAAAAAACAGTTTTGTTTTAGCCCTTTTAAGGGCATATAACTTCCTAAGGGTGCGTTTTAGGGCACATGTTAATAGGAACCTTTTGGCTTATTTTAATGAGTTATAAACGCAGCAGAAGTTTGGAACCCTATTTTAGAAACACCCTGTATATCCAAAAATATAACAGCAAATTTATTTTATGCAAATGTGTATAGTGTTAGACTAGCCAGATAACTTTAATAAGAATAATCTTTCAAAAGTCAAATAATTTTTTAATGAATTCCTTGTGCAATTTTAAATTAATACATAAATATATAATTATATTCTTATTCAACTAAGTGAAAAGAAAATTAACAATCATTTTCCTAATAACAGTAATAACATGAATTATTTATTCAGATACAGATACCTACCTATTACACTACAACTGCGGAATGTGAACTTGACGTGTTTCAAGTAAACTTCAGGGTAATTATATATGACAGATCTGGAATCAGTGCATTTTTTTGTTTTGTACACTTCCCATTTCTAATAATATGTATTTTAAATTTGATTTTTATTAAGAAAATATTTAAAGATAAGTAGGTACACCAATAAAGAATTTGTTATTTTTTGTTATTTACTGCATATTATTTTTCCAAATTTATTTAGGAAATCAATTAGCTGTGCAAACATTACAACTGATTTTTTTTTTAAATTTCTTATCATTTTTAAAATATATTATTTGTGATGCCTTGTTCATATCTATAAGGAGTGTTCAATTTAAAGGACGTTTAATTTCTGTCATAGACAGTACAATTTTGAAAATTCGTTCGTTTATTTGCAAAAATAAAAGTTTTTCTGTAATATTTTTAAAATGATTCTATACAAATTGAAAATGATTCTATTGTGTACCTAAATGTACCTAATTTAATGAATTAACAGAAAATTTGTATACCTACCTAAAAGATCTAAATAGATTACACATTACATACAAGGTGCCACTAAGATATTTTGATAAACTTTAATGCTTTCCTTTCGAAATTTGAAAAATAATATTTTGTTTTTGCTATAAAATATTAAAGTAATTTTATTGCTGAAAGTGCTACCTTATATTTAAGATAAATTTAAGTATAATATTGACTCAAATAGTAACGTTGTCTGTAAGTGAAATAAAATATTATTTAAATGGTTTCCCTCAATTGATTTTTGTTTATTTTGAAACTTGAAATGAACTACATTTTCAATAACATCCTATTCTGCGAAAAAGAAGTGTTTCCAACATATGTCTATTAAAACTTTTTTTTGTTAATTATTGTTAACGTAGAATTCGTCATAAGTTTGTCCAAAAATTTTTATTATACCCTGTACAAAATAAAATGAACAATTTCAAATTTAATGCATGATTATATGAATTTATAGTTCTTAAACATTTAGAAATAATTTTAGTTGTTTTGATAAATCGAATCTAAATTGTAGATTAAAATAATTCTCACCTTATAACCAGCAAACTAAAATATTTATCAGAAAATAACTTAATATTTTTTATTTATTATCTGACACATGTATAAATAAAAACAAACAAAATAGTTAAGTGGATAAATTATAAAGTCATTGTATAAAAACAAATTGGTCCAAGTTCCTCCACAATCCGAAGTAATTAATCACTTTATTCTGGGATAGTAATACAAAACCGATGATCCGGGAAGCTGCCAATTCGAGGCGTGCAATTCTATAAGTTGTAAAAGAGTACGTCTTACACTCGTTGAACCTGCACTGGCCAAGAAACCATCCCTAACACTTGCCAAAAGTTGCTCGAGTTGCTGGGGAAGTTCTGCCTCTAAATCCCTTCCGATCGACGTTAAAACGAAAAATAAACATTCCGTCTCCGAAAGACATTTGATGGGCAAGCTAACGCAGGCTTGACAGCACTTTGCTAGTATAGAGAGAAGCACTAGGTCAGGTTGCATGGATTCAAACTGGTCCTTAAGCTGATGTCTTTTAATTTGGCTGCATAATTCTGTTAGAAACCACATGAATGCGGTAAACCTGGTACCGTCCCCAGCCTTAATCCCTCTGAGAATTTTATCCCGCTCTTGGTACCATTGTTGGCACATGTTAAGTAATGATTCCAAGAACGTTTGGTTTTTCTCGTTTTCTATTATGGATATACATAATTTCGCTATTGGTTCACAAAATTTTATCCCTTCCACTACTTTTTCCATAATGATCTTTACTAGATCCATTAAACTTCTCGTGGCTAGTTGATTAGGGTCTTCTAAGGCAGCCTTCAAATTTGTTTGTTCTTCCGACGAAAACATGCTTAGGTCAATTTCCTCTTTGGCGATACTCTTGAGTTTTGCTGCTAAATTTTTGGAATCGGTAGCTCCTAAACTCTTTGATCTCTTCAAAGCGATGGGCGCATTGCTAATAGGTTTGGATTGGTTGTTGTTCCAGTTCGAGTGGTAAATCGGTTGATTGAGACCAGAGAAAACGGGATGTGCCATTATCTCTGCGGCGTATTGATAATTCGGTCTAGGTATATGGTTCAGTACGTGTGATGTGGAAGATGAGTGCAAAAGAGGCAGAGGTACACCAGGAAGTATGGGTACAAATCCGGGGTGGTTTATATGCCTCAGAATGTTTCCGCTCGATTTTGAGTGCTGCAAGGGTATAGGTTCGTAGCCCATGGCTAAATTTAAATTCCCGCTGGATTTAGATGAATGCAGTTCGTGATTCATTGTGAATTCCTTTGCGTGGACGTTCAATTTACCAGACACATTAGGCAAGTCGGTCCTTACATTCGGCGGTCGGTATATTTCCATTGTTGGTTTACCTTTTATAGTAGCCATTGTCTGACTTCTTCGTTTTTGCGGGTCTTTATTAGGACGAATAAAACTTCTCTCTCTTGTAACAAATGGCGCCGCTGCAGAAAAATCCGTCTTCTGACTGCGTTTTAACTGAGCGCCCTGCGACATGATGAGAGCACTGCTTTTTAGCACTTTGTTCACTGTTCGCAATTATTCAATATTTTAATAATGATTTGAGCAATGACGACCACGCACCACAAACCAATTTTGGTAAGGCAAGGCTAGAATTCACAGCGACACTTGTCCCGACGCATAACTGCGTATAATTGTCTATTTTTTTAGCTCGGTACTTAGTCTCATCATTTCTGTTTTAATTGAGTAATGAGGTAAGTTAGACACCAAGTTTAGTCTGTTTCTACAACAGAATGAATTCTGTGTTGTCACACTTCACGTAAAACAGCAGTGCGAGCTGACGTATATTTAGAATGTATATTTTTAACGATGTACGCTGACGATATAAATAGTTGTTATATGTTTTGTACGGTATACAATACTAAAATTATTATGTAAGAAAAGACGAACATTGTTTGACAATTGCATATTTATTTATTTATTAAGTTTAATTAGCAGATTTGGTGGGAGCGGCCTATAATAGGCGATGCATTCATTTTAATGGATGAGGTGACTTCATAAACGGTTTGATATATGTCTGGGTTTGCTGCATCTGGTGTTTAATAGCGCTTTTTTAATGAAAGCATCTGATAATTTTTTTAATATGATTTATTATTTTACAGAAAATTCGACCAAAAATCCTAACGTTGTTTTTAATAATTAGAACAGTAAATAACAGTGTAAATGCAATAAAATTTATGACATCATTATGTATTCACGTTGGCGTCTAGTACCCAGTGCTTCAACAACACGTCGCATCAACATTTATTTTATGAACAAAATTAAAAACTAATGTTATTATTACGACGAAATGAGTAACCAGAGGTTGTTAATATTGACATTGGATTTTACGTCAGTAATCGAAACTGTTAAATCATGGGTTAGGTACCTACCTACTATCACAGATTACCTACATAATCTGTGGTAGGTACCTACTAAGTATTACGAATTGCAGATATTTATATAATTGTAAAATATTATTTATATACAATATAGCTATTAAATAACTTCAAACATTTCTTGTTATAGGACTTATAGTTAGGTACATACCTACTTATTGTAGAACATTGCATTATCACGGTAATTCACACAAATTAATCACTGACTCTTGTAGTGCTGGAAATTTCTTCTTACTCCTATATACTTAGTATTTAATGAATTCGCCAGATGTTCTTTCAATGAAAATATTTAAAATTATTTGATTGTTTATATTATAAACAACTTGGGGAGGCTTAAAAGTGAATTCTTAATAGACTTATAGAAATTAATAACATAACATAAATAGAATCTTATTGCCAATTATAATTTTTATAATTTGCAATAAGATTCTATTTACGTCTATAAAGGGCGAAGTTAACTAATAGCCATTCACACTTAACTTTCAAAAGCCTTAATCTACAAAATATATGTATTTCTATACATAAAGTTATTGTTAACAAGTCATTGCAAGAATTAAATGTAGTGCTTTAGATACACTTACATGTTTTAATTTTAGGTGAATCACTCTGTATATATTTAGAGAGTAAATGTTTGCAAACAAGATAAATTTTATGTTTGAAGTATTAATACCTCCATTTTCACGTGCGTTTATAATAATAAACAAGGAGTATGTAGGTAGGCATCGTGTTATCTCTATCATTCGTATCCGTACAGCATTGCATTAAACTTTAGAAAATGACAATTTTTTGCACAAATCAAATTTTCAAGATTTTCAGATATTTTCTGTAATTATTTATTTATGATATCTTCAGTACTGTTTTAATTTAAGTAATTGGGTATTTCTGTCGTGTTGAAAATCTTTGCGGCAAAATAATCTCTAAGGGGTAGATTTCATGAATTTAGTTTTGCCGCTAGGAGTTATTTAATTATTTAAATTTCTTAGAAATGTTACAGTGCTTTGTAAAACAAATTATTATTATTTTAATATCTACCATATTTAATAAAAACCAAAAATGTAATGCCAAGTTTTTTCCGTCTCTCATAAAATTTATAACTTTTCCTTACTAACATGATATGTTGGAAATGCCACTAGATAATTACAACTTTAATTTAAAATATTTGTATTATATAAAAATATTCATATTGCCTATGGCTCGACTAACCTTAGCCAAAATAAAATTGTTCCATAATAATGATTGTGATTCAGCATGAAATTGCTAGATAAATTAAATATTATTGAAACAATCTATATTTAATTATGATTCAAGAAACTTTCCTGTTTAATTGTAAAGGAATTCGCAGAAATAAAATGTTAGAAAGTAACTGTTTCATTGATACGCAAAAAAATAAATAATATTTTTTTACACATCATTATTTTTATCTTTTTTTTTTCATGATCTGTTTCTTCAATATCGAAATTGTTAATTTCTTTTCTCCTAACGTTATGGATTATTTATAGAAATAAAACCGTATCTATCTGTCAGGGCTGGATTAAGGGAGGGCTTGCAGGCCCGGGCCTTACGGGACAGGGAGGCCTCGGCAAGATCTGGCAATTTTTTTTTAGAATCAAAGCAAAAAGTGTAGGTTTTGAAATTTTATATATCGACAAGTTGCTGATTGCATGACCTTTTTTTAGAATCAAAGAAAACTTATGTAGCTATGTTTGGAAATTTATTTATTTATTTATTTATTTATTTATTTATTTATTTATTTATTTATTTTAGAAAGAGGGCCTGCTGCGTCGAGCTTGTAGCCCCGGGCGTCACCATATGTTAATTCGGCCCTGGTATCTGTATATGACAGCGGTAAAATTATATAGGTTTAGGTACTACCTACCTACTGTTCAGTGAAGAAATTATATGACACTTCACAGTAATGAGAGTTTATTAATAATCAATAAATAATAATAATAA